GTACTTATCATTTGGAGAGGGTGACAACAGCAAGATTGACAAATAGAGCCAGTGGGCAGAAAAAACAGCCTGATTCTACATCATCATTCCTCACCACCTTTTCCTCCATTATTTTTTTTCAGGTTCTGAGAGGGCTAATATGATCCAAACCCTTAGCAAGACATGATGTTGCCTTCTGAGACTAAGCAGTCTAGTTACATAGCCACTAGACACACAGGTGAAATGAACCCTTCCCCCTTTATCTCATGTGTTTATTCACTTGTCCCCTGATAGTGGCATGGCTTGAGAAGGCTGTGGAACCATTATGTGATAAAGCCTTACTATGGAAGATCACTGGCGCTGGGCCTTGAAGTTTTATAGTCCAACACACTTCCTGTCCACTCACTGTTTCTGGACTGCGTGTACAATGTGACCAGTTAGCCTCCTATTCCATCATGCCTTCCTGACCATAAAGGAAAAGCTCCCGACAAACCATAGGCCAGGACAACCCCTTCCTTCTTTCAGTTGCTTCTTGTCAGATATCTTGTCATAGCAGTAAGAAGAGTAGTGAATAATACTGAAGTTTAACTTTATCAAAATTAAGTAAGAGGAAAAATTCAGTTTCTCCATCACATTCACACCAATTCCTTCCCAAGAGCTGTATAGCCACATGCATTCAAATCATGCCCAGCCATCACCTCTTCTGAATATATAAGAATATATGAGAATAGAGAAAAAAGATTCCCCCCTCCATTCTGTGTTCCTCTCTTGCTAACCTGGTCCTCCTTAATTTGTACTGTCATTATCTTCTACTCACAGAGCTCCTTATACCTAGGGAGAGGCTGAATCCAAGCCTTTAGAGTGGCTGGTGCATGGGTGACACATACTTATCCCTTCCTTTTCTTTAAAAGAATCCTTGACCAGAAACAAAAATAAGGTATCAGATGCTCATTTCACATTTTTATATTAAAACCCAAAAAGAGCAACTCTACCACCATCTCTCTTTGTAGGTACTGACTCCAGAGGCTCTCTGAGAATGAACCCTGACTCTGCCAATCCCAAGATCAGATTCCCTTCTTGTCTTTTAGAACCATAGGGAAACAGGCTGGCAAGAGGCACCATTGTACCAGCTGATTTAAATTGAAGTGTTTTCCCCAGATAAATGCGTACTAAATAATACACCAGCTCTCCAACCAAAGGGAAGTGACAGGCACTCTGTAAATAAAGGCACTTAGTTGCTGGTAAAGAGCTGTAAAGTGGTTCTGAGCTGATGTTTGCTGACCAGCAAGAAGCAGCTTCACCTGCTTTATGTAATTGTCACTGCAGTTTCGCCTGCTGTATATTAAAACTGCATCTCATAGACCCAAATGTCACATTATATATACCATCCCACATGGAATGCACCACCTTCTGCTGTAATTGTTTTTGACAACCAACCATCACATCTCATCTCATTTCAGAAAGTGTCTGGTCAGAATCCCTAGGCTGGGTCAGTTCTGACACCATGTGAGCTAGAAAGGTGGCACTCAAAGGGAGGGTGAAGAGAAGCAAAGAAAAAAAAAAAAAAAAAAAAAAAAAAAAAAAAAGAGGAGCCCTGATAACATGCCATGGCAAGTGCACAGACACAAATCCTCCCTGTGGAGACTGGACTTTGTTAATGTTAATATGCCACTTTCTTGTTCAATTGTAGCACTTTAGAATAACTCTGACACAAGAGCACAACAGTTATCCTCAGTCCACATTTCTGGACCCAGCTGGGTTCTGGGTTCTGGGTTCTGGAAAAATGAAAACATAACCATGCACGGATGCATGGGTCAAGGTGGAACCGCAGGATACATCATGATGAAACTGGCCTGGCATGTGCTAAAATCTCTATAGATATCACTCAGGGGATGTGAGATATGTTTCCCAAAATGCAAAGAGCGGCACAATGTCTTTGTTGCCTGTAATTCTAGCTACCCTTTGGAGTGTGGACCTGCCAAACACCTGGATGGAGAAGCAAGTACCTAAAGCCACTGGACACAACAGCTAGTCAAAGAGGTCTTAGAGATAAGAAAAAGCAGGGCCATTTAGCTCCCCTGTATAGTGCTTTACTGAAAGGAACTGCAAGCACTGGGTACAGGGGGAGCTCTAGAGGTAAGCAAAGGGAAAGAGCCACTTCTCAGTGTTGGGAGCTGCCACTGGACCACTGCCACTGGAACATCAGAGTGATACCAGGGGATGATAGAGGCCAATGACAGGATTGGAGAAGGCAGAAAGAGAAAAAACAGTGACATATAGGTTTGGTTATTAAGAGTTTCAATATTGTGATCTTAGGAACAGAACTGACTGCTGGCTTCTAGGAGACACCTGCTGAATTCTACCTCTGACTTGAAGTTAAGAGAAATGCTGCCTGCCATGAATGTATCTCATCCTCTTCCTTCCTCTGCTTAGTGTACCTTCCTTCATCCAAGCCACATGAACATGTTAACTGCTGGATATTGACCACAGAGAGCTCCTTCTCCCTCTTCTGGATTCTGAGACATCTCCTAGATCAAGACTTTCTGATTCATATGTGGTGCCCTCTTCCTTATTCTCCCCATGGGAATGTTGGGTCTCTCTAAGCTCTCTTATATACAGGTACTAATCCTGTTTGAGAGACCTGGCTTCTTGACCTAGTTACCTCCTCAAGTTCTCATCTTTCCAGACCACCCCCTCTAAGGTTAACATTCAATATACAGATAGATGAGGGTCAAACATTCAGGCTGCCACAGCATGTGCACTTTCACACAAGGAATGTATGAATATCTCTTGCTAAAACTTACTCCCTTTGCTTACTCTTGACTTTCTTAATATCAAGGTGTTTGTGCACAGGGGAAAGGGAAAATTTTGTCAGTTTGGACATTTTACAGAATCTAAGGTGGGATAAAATTTAAAGAGATCTGGGAGAAACATCTGTGTCAAGGGCACATATGACTACACATTGGTGAAATAGCATGAATCTGCAGACCTTGGGGTCATGATCGTAGCAGGAGGACATAGACAGGCAGGGGAAAGGAAAGTCTTTCCTGCCTCCTCTGTTCTCAGCATCCCTACCAAAGGGGAGAACTGCTCCTTTCAAATCTTTCCAATCCCCTTGCTATCCTCTCCCTAGGACAGGAGGCATGTCTGAACAAGTTGATCAGCATGTTCAGTGCACTGGGTTTGTTAGTGTGAAGATTTCAGCAGCTTTGGAGCAGCTTGTACCAGTCACCCAGGGATCTCATTAGCATGCAGATCTGACAGGTACTATAAGATGAGCCATGAGAAGATGCATCTCCAACAAGCTGCCCCAGGTGATGTTCACACCAGGGTGAAGGTGAGTGAGACAAATTAAAGAGCCAGTGCTCAGAGGCAGATACCACATACCAGCTTGTTGCATTCCACCCCCTGGAAGGTCAGTTTACTGTCTTTCACATTCTTTTTCCCCAGTGTTCCCCCAGGCAAGCTGGGCAGGATGCAAATTGTATTTCCCATGTGGAGCCTGGCAAAACTCAGGTGTCTCTTAGGGCCTTGGCATGTTGCTGTCTTGCATGGCTGCACCAAGTTTTACATTTGGGAGTATCAGGTAGGATGGTACAACAGAGAGGTCAAAATTGGGCCTCAGGCAAGTTTGTAACAGAAAAAGGGAAGCTGGAAGTGACTCAGCTAAAATTGGAGACTGATCCAATCTTCAGAATTGTAGAAACCCAAGTCAGGAGGCCCAGACTCACCACTCCACAGGCATGAACAAAGTGGATGGTGTTATAATTTGATCTAAAGCCATAGTAAATGTCAAGAGCCCCCCACTCCCACCAAGGCCCTGCCTCTTCTCCCAGTCCCCAGTAGCAAGGCCACTGATTCTCAGGACACTACCAAGAGTGGCTTTGACTGTCTCAGATGCTCAAGGCCCCACTGCAGAGCATCAAGGTCTCTCCTTCTCTTTCACTTCCCCAATCCCATCTCAGCATTCCTGTTTCACTGGCCATCTCTTCCCAAGAACCAGCGCAAGGAAGAGAACTTGCAACAGAGAGGTTTTCAGTGGTGTTTTGGGTTTGTGGCAGAAGCTAGAAGTAGATAATAGTGTTGAGTTGTTTAAAGACAGCAGAGCACCAAGGTCTTAGCTCTACAATCCAGTCAAACCTCCAGAAAGGCCTGCATGTGGGGCTGTCCCCACCCTCCAATAAGGAGCTTCCTACCCCAGCAGCTGCAGTCTTCATGGGTTTTGCTTCCTGGAAGGACAGGAGTCAGGACATCTAGGAGGCAGTCAACCACACCCATCTAGTGGGCCTTGCATGACCTACATAGAGCTGTCACTCAGAGGAAAATACTTCATCTCCTATTCTTCCTGATCCTGATATCTAAGGCCACTCATTATGGGGTTACTTCCTGCGCTGATTCCCTGTGACTACAAGATGGCATCTTTACTTGGAACCACCTGTCCAGGATCCCAGAACAAATGAGGGAAAAGACTCGGGTCAGGAGAAAAGGCAGCTGTGTGTAATTTAATGCTTCTGTGCCTCCTGCAGGAAAATGCACAGGCCAGCAAGCATCACTCCTTACTACATGGCTTCAAGTGTCTGTCCCATTCCTACTCTTTAGAGATCAACAGAGTCTAAACACAGCAAAGCTTAACACTCCCATTTCAGTCCCATGGAAAAGCACTCATGGGGACAGGGCAGAGAAGTATGCAGCTGGCATCTTCAAATTGCTCTGGCACTTAGGCAGTGACCCTGGTCATAAAGCCCATTATTTGCAAAAGCCAAGATGGTGACCATTTAAAGGCTCTTTTATTGCCTCAAAAGGAAACAAACTGGGGAAGGGGGACATACATCAGGTTTCAGGTCTATATCTCCAGATGGCAGGAAGAACTGATGCTCCTCTGTAAGCCATTGTGGCAACCACAGGTTTCACGGCCAGACAGGCTGATGCGAGCCTCTTTGAATTACTGAGTGAAGGATATCCCTCTTGCCAGGCCCTGTCCCCCATAGGCATAGAAGAGAAGTATTACAGGCTGTCCTTACCTTGGGAATTAGCCTGCAAGACCCCGATGCTGTCATCAAACTGCATAGATTTGATGTTGAGTGACGCCAAGATGCATTCCTTGTCCTGAAGCGAAGTATCATCAATATTATTCTGATTGGCTGACAGGATAACGCACATGTCACAGAGGTTGATGTTGACAGCCCTTAAATCAGCCCGACTTAATGGTGTACCCTTTGGGAAGGGGGGAGGGCACAAGGGGAGAGAAAAAGAGAAAGGAGAGAGAGAGAGAGAGAGAGAGAGAGAGAGAGAGAGAGAACAGAGAAGAGGGAAAGAACAAAAAATAAAAACAAATTAAAGATTGAGCCAGAGCTTTGGGACATTATTTAACAAGTATCTTTTTTATGTCTTGACATTAAGCTGGCCTAACTACATTTCAGGGAATAAGGGCTGCACGCTAATCTAAAGGGTAGTCGGTGCTGATGGCAGCATTTCAGGCCAGCTCTCAATACTCAATCAAGCTATTACTAACAAACGAGAGGCGAATAATGCCAGGGTCTACATCTTCCTCCTGCCTGGAAATTGTCTTGATTTAAGTAACTGTCCTGTGGCAACCTCTGCCTTTCAAAACATAACGAGGGGGTGGGTTTCAAATGTCTCTGGCAAAAGACAGCATATCTGACCAGAATTTCCAAAGCTGCCATGGAGAAATAAGCAAAGCATGGTGTGATGAGGTGGGGCTCGTGGTTCTGCTGAAGTGGGAGGCTGTGGAAGCCAGTGGAATTAGTGTGCATCCTGCAAAAGGGAGAGGGCAAGCTTTGAGCTACAAAATTTTATTGCATATTTTTCAGTAAGAAAAAAGCCAAGGAAGCTACATAATTATCCAACAATATAAGAGTGGTTAAATATATTTTTGGATGTGTATACAATTGACAATACACTTGTATTGCAAATGTAGTTAGAGCAAGTCCTCCACATACTTATTGAGTTGGAATAATCTGTAAGATAAAGGAATTAGTAAGTGGTGGAGAGGTGAGGATTTAGAACAATTTAAAACTATAACCACATTTATTTAGAAAAAAATAAAGCCACTTGAAGTAAAAATTATATATTTATAAATGTATGTAAATTGAAAGAGAAAAACTCAGGAAAAACTATACACTAAACTAATAACAGTAATTACCTCTGGGAGAGGAAAGGATGAAGTAGAAAGTTTGCTTTTGACTTTATATACTTCTATATTGTTTGAATATTTTATAACAAGAACAGATTTGTATATTACTGGTGCAATTAAAAATAAATAAGCCAGTAAACAGAGTTTTTTTTTTAACCCCATAACAGTAGAAAAACTTTTGCAGATCCAAGGTTAATGATGGAGATCAACTATAGATATGACAGAAAGATAGGACTAGCACTCTCACATGCTGTCCTCCTAAGAAGGTCACAGTAGAACTTCCTGGACCATCCAGGGTTAGAACACCTAGTAGCCATGCAGCATTGGTTCTCCCATCCAGCACCACTGATCCTCTGGGTTTATTTAAGCATCTCTTTGTATATGTAGATACCCCAGGAGTCTTCAACCTATAGCCTGTATTGGCCAAGGGTTTGCCAGCTGTTGTATGCATCTCCTCTTGTTCCCATCACTTAAAATTACGGAGCCCATCAACTCTTTTTATGATTCAGTGAATGTTATGACTCTATTCCAGGGCTCCTAAAATTGCTACAAAATAGAGCCTACATTCAAGAACATGTGGGGTCATAGGTTCAAAAATGCCCTAGTCCATGCACACTGGAGCAGTATCTTGAGAGAAGGAGAGAAATATCACCTTTTATGATCTCTTGGTACAAAACTAAATGTGACCAACTTTCTGTATCACATTACTATGTATAAACAACCGCTGCCTATGTTCATATTCTTTTAATTTTCCCCTTGCAGGAAACCCAGAAGTAATTGTAATGTAGGGAAACCATGTCCAGTTGTAGATGTATGATTTCAATCCACAAGAACACCAATGACATACATAGAAAGTTTTTGTTTCTTTGGGCTCCCTTATATGACTGACCATTTAAATATTGAAGAAAAGGGCCAAGACTTTTAATGAACCAATCCACTGTGCTTAAGTGTGCTAAATTTGGGTATATTTGTAATGGCTCTACAAATATGAGACTCATTCCAACTTACAGAGAAAGGTGAGTAAATGTGGATGGGGGCATAGAAAAGGAAATACACACATATGCACAAATAACAAAGGCCACACTACATGCCCCACCTATATACACATATACTTGTGCACCTAACTTCAGAGGTCAAGGGGTCACATGGAATCACACATGTAAGATAATAAATCACAGAAAAGTATAATCAAATATCCCAACATGATACATTTAGCAAGTATATACAGTATATGTGTATGCTTGTCCAGTGAGTTAATTTTAACAAGTAACCATCTTAAACTACATGAATACATTAAAGAAGTCAGGTTTTGGTTGTGAATCCAAAGGAGATCTGTCTAATATTTCTAGCACGTTTAGATATATATGGGGAATTTATTGTATCGAGCATTATGGGAGATACACATAGCTACACTGGAGTGCTGACTGTGGACAGTCGCTTAGAGATTCTTTAAGATATTATATTGATTAGCTTGTATTGCCTCATTTCTGATGATCTGGAAACTGATAAATAGTAGGGGAAAAAACATACCTCTTGACAACTAAGGGGTTTCTTATCCCTAAATATTATCTTAAAAATAGTAAAATGTTGGAGGAGTCAGGTAGCACATACTTTTAATCCCCACACTCAGGAGCCAGAGGCAGGCAGATCTCTGTATGTTCAAGGCCAGCCTAATCTACATAGTGAGTTCCAGCACAGCCAGAGCTGGTTAGACTGGTAAGACTCTGTCTCAAAAAAAAAAAAAGAAAAGAAAAATGTCAGAGGATAGGTAATATTTTCCTGAATTTGTGACATAAACAACTACATAAAATTTTGAAAAGAATAATATTCTGTAAGTCTATAATTTTGTAAAAAATATATTATTATTAGAAAGTGGCTAGTTATATTACTTTTAAATCATTCATCTCATATCCTTACATTAAATTATGGAGTCCAAAATTTTTTTATATATATTGGTGTCCTAGTGATTTTTGTAATCTCTACAATATATATTACATATAAATATATATAGTTTGCATATATATATGTATATATATATATGCATACAATGATGTTTTTTAAACAAAGGGTGGACAGAGATTGATTCACAAAAAGGATTTGGAATTCTGTACAGTAGAGATAATTCTACCCTTCATTTATTTGGTCAATATCAGAAGGAAGATGGGACAGATCAGCATTTCTCTTAGCATTAACCACCATGTCAAATTAAAATGCCAACAAGAATTTTGTAAATGACTTCTTAGTGTAAATATCAAAATAAGGCAATATTCTAAATTTCACCTAGGAAAGAAAATTTAGGCTGGTATGGTTAATGCATGTGGTGGTAGCTCAACCTCACCCCTGACAAGGGGCTTCACTTGGTTACAGATAACCTTTTAATAAGGCCTCCTAGGGTTTTGACTTTCTTAGCAGAGCACAGAAGGACTCCTACATCCTCAGGCCTGAAACCACATGAAGGAGCATAGACATGATCAAAGCTTCAACAATTACAGCCACGTGGGATTTACTTTTGTGAATGAAAAGATGAGAGTAAAACATCAAATAGTGTGTGACCTTGACTTACAGGCAATATGGACACTTTGGGGAAGTTGTGCAGTGTTTCCCACTCTCGCTTGAGGTACTCGATGGAGCCCACAAACACAATGTGTTTGAGCTCATGGTAGTGAAAATTGCTAGCACGGAGCGGCATCACCAGGTTCCGGAGGCCAATCAGGGCTGAGCTGACATCCCCAAAGATGCAGACTACAACATGACCGCTCAGGACAGTCATGGCAGCTTCACTTCGAGTCTGTAACAAAGAGAAGTGCAAAACTATCAGAAAGCAGAACTCCCAACAACAATCTAAGGAAAGAAAGCAGCATTCAAGCAGAGGAGAAAGCTAAACAATGGCTGAGGGCTTACTGAACACTATTGCTGTGTGATTTACATATGGTCTGAGTGTCCCCCACAGGCCCATTGTTATTAAAGTCTTTGTCTCCAGAGTGGCATTATTACATGGCAGAACCTCTATTGGAGGTGTGGGACAATTCATGTGCAACTGCCTGAGAGTTCTCATGTGACTTGCTGAGTTCTCCAGAGATGATGAGTATGAAAAGCACAAACCTGAATATACCCATCTCATTTCTCTTAGGTAATGTTTGCTTCTACACACTCCTATTATGATCACCTACCACCCACCAGCCTCACCAGAGATCAGACAAGTGGGATATCCCAACATGAGACTTTGAACCTCTTAAAGACTGTGAGCTACCTGTAATCTTTATGAGTTAGCTGTCTCAAATATTTTATTATAATACCACAAAGGTATCCAATACAGCTATTGCTTGTAATAAAATAAAACTAATATTTAATTTAGTTCAGAATAATAGAAGTGATTTTTCTATATCATATATAAAATTGAACAAGGTACCCATTCGAATGGATAAAAGTATATTAGGGGAAGGAGAGATGAATAAAAAGGTAAAACTCAAACACTGGTTTAAACATCTATCTCCATCAAATTAGAGAGCATATAAATATTTCTAATAATTTTAGTGAATACAGTAAGTGCACATGCAGAGAATGAACTAATTTTCCTTCTTGATTTTATTTATTGTTAAAGATCATGTGAAATGATAGTAAGGCTTATAAGACAGCTATTATATCTTTTTTTTGTCATTATGTACATTATATAATCACCTCTAATTTGAACAAGGGCATATAATCTATTTATCCCATAAATTTCTATAAACATATACCCACACATTACCAATGCTTCTTGAACAATATATTTAAGGATGTGCCAAGTAGACTTGTAAGCAGGAGACAGGGCAAAACAATCTTTAGGAGAAAAAGGAGAAAAAAATGGGGATGTTTATGTATGTGGGGGGAAAAAAGGGAATCCTTAATATCCATAACATGGTTGATAAATTTAGATGTCCTTTTTAGGCCCTTTTGCTAAGATGATGATTAAATGGTCCTATTCATTGGTTTGTCTTAGCTGAAATATGGGGTACTCTTTTAAGATATTTCAATGAGGTGGCATATCCCATCTCTATATCAGTACAAAGAATTTGATATCTGAGGCCAGAGGCTGGCTGGTGTGGTCTGTAGACTCAATATGATGATGCCCCACAAGCTCTATACAGCTACTCAATAAAAACAAGTTTTTAAAATTCACAGTAACTAAAAAGAAAATTAAAATTAGAAATTTCATTATGAGTGATAATAATATGAAATTTACATTCCAATAAAGTTTTGTTGGGACACAGCCAACTCATAATATTTAGCTATTTCCCATGGCTACTTACATGGAAAGCACAGTTGACCATTGTGACAGAGATCACATGGCCTGTGAGACTTAAATCACTGAATATGTTCATCTATAGAAAAAGTATGCTGATCTAATATTCAAACTTTGAAGTTTCCTGGATAATTCCTGGGAGGGCTTGCATTATATAAAAACCCACAAATAGTCATTACAAGGTTCTAGAGGTCAAACAGTAAAGACAGAGGACAATGTTCTTCCTTAGCCCCAGCCCTGTATCCACAAGGGTGACAAAGGAAGGGATACTCTAATGTAGGGAGGACCCCAGTTATCTGGGAAATACAAATGGGTATCTGTCCACTGATGGTCTTTTCTTCATCATATAAGTGAAAAAACAAAAAGATGAGGTCAGTATAGGTGGTTCTTTGTTTACCCTTCTAGTCAACACCTTTGCCCTGCCTGCCATCTTTTCTGTTCTTCACTGCATGCTCACAAGGACCCATGGGACTGGGGAAAGCATATTAATGTCCACTGTACATATCAACCTCTGCTTGATTTAATTCCTAACATTGACCAGAGTATTGATTGCTTAAATGCCAATATTGCAATTCACGACAATGTCAGGGTATTACAGTAACCCCTAAGGAGAAGAGGAAGCTAGCTTTCATCCTCTGGTCATTAGAATAAAGCTGGAGCTATCATCATTGCTGGTTTCCCAGAGTAGAAGCGAAATCTGAGACACAAGCTGTAAGAAATTTCTCATGGAAGGTGACTGAGCAGGTTCCCATGGAGCTCCCATGGTCTCCTTCCACTTTGCAGGAAAGACATGAGTTAGTTATTTAGACCACATGGAAGTGCTGGTCCCTGAAGGTAGAAGCAGAAATACAAACCCTCTGGGGTGTGCTATCATTGGAGTCCTGAATGTTTTCAGTTGGCCTGGTCACCTAAGAAGCTAGTTCCCCTCAACAAAGAAGTTCAAATGACATGAAGAATAGAGATCAACAATGCAAAAATAAGCTAGGTACCAGTTGGCAGAATGGTCCACGCACAGAAGATAACTGCAGGAGCATAGGCCTGGAGCAATTACCAACTTGCCTGAGCTACATATATACCTCTGGAGATGTGTGTAAACTCCAGCTGTGCACCTCAAACCTGGAAAGTCTTATTCTTCCACATTTAATACCCAACAGAAAACCCCCATCAGGCATTGATGCACCCTTCAACCTCTTGAGTATTGCCTACTCCTACTGGATGGGATATTCCTGTCTACTTTAAACATAGAATGGCACTTAATCCATGGATCTGAAGAATACTTTGTATCTCATCCCACTTAGTCTCAAAAATTTTGTTTCATTTTTAATTTCATATCTCCTTTCTAATTAGAGGTCTGTCTCTCCTATATGCAAATCACCCAAAGCCATTAGATTCCTGCACTCCTTGGATGAAAGGCTTCTATAAGCATCACCATACAAGTGCTATGTGCCCCCACTCTTCTCATCTACTCAATGGATGAAAATTCCATCTATTCATTATTGCAGAAAGGGTTTCTTGGATCATAGCACATCTGGACTCTGTCCTTTCCAGGACCCTGCTTTATTTTCTTCACAAAGTCCTCATTATTGTTGAAACTGCTCTCATAGACTCATTCACCTCTAGACAGGCCTTCCCTTGGCTTCATTAGAATGCAAGTTCTGTATATCATCAGAATAAGAATGATGTGTTTGTATCAGGGTTTCCCAAAGTGATGCTGCTTTACAGATGAACTAGTCACCCTAAATTCCTTCCTTCTATAGAGGAATTAGCATACTTTATTCAGAATAATCTGGAGCCAGGTGAAGCAAACAGCATGAAGTCATAGGTGACCAACAACAGAGAATCTAATTGGTTAGAACTGTCTCCTCTTCTGACAAATCAAGCAGTGGCTATTTGCTGAGCATTTTGACTTCATGTACTTCAGCCTGCAGACAGACTTCACAACTCTGAGATGCCTCCAGCACATGTGTATTGGCTCACAATGCTCATTTATAATTAATTTGAAAACAAAAACACTAGTTAGCTAAAATACAGTGGGGAAATCTAGTGGATTAGCACACAAAACAATTTCGAGGATTCGAAATGTCATTGCTAAGGAAGGGTGACCCTGAAATTGAAAATGATAGACTTGTCCTAGTTGAAAATGAAGTAGGCCCACAGCCATCTGGCTATTAGAGGCATAAGGGGGAAATGCCCTGTCTCACTGCTCTTCCTGACTATTAACCCATTTTTAATGGATTAGCAAAACAATAAACTCTAAGGAAGCCAATATAGGCACTGAAACTTAAAGTTATTAACAGGACAAACACAGAGAGTATAATGGACTTCTATCTGTGCTAACTTTCCTGGGACAGAACAGGAGAAGCCTGTTATTTCTAGAGGTGTTCACAAGCCATCCCTGAAACACTACACAGAGCTCTGGACCATGGGCTATGGTCCTACCCTGTCATCCTCAGCAAATATACTTGCCTATCTGTATCATGTGTTGAGAAGGACTGGAAACATGTTAGGGTAAGAAACACTACTATAGGTCTGTGGAGATTGCTTAGTTGATAAAGCACTTGCCACATGAGCAAGGGGATCTGAGTTTGATTCCTGGTACCCATATTAAAAAGAAAAAGCTGGATGTAGTTAGTGATGCATGCCCAAATGCTAGTGCAAGGGAGGTGGAGATAGGATCCCAGAGACTCACTGGTCTGAGTATAGCTGAATCAGTGAGCTCCAGGTCCAGTGAGAGACCCTGACTCAAAAGAAAAAGTGGAGAGTAACTGAGAAATGGCTTCTAACACACACACACACACACACACACACACACACACACACACGCACGCACGCATGCACGCACCCACTCACACACAATATACATATGAATATGTAATACAACAAAACAAAACAAAAATTTCTTATAACAGAAATCAAGGCAGGTAATATTCCTATTTTTATGGTATTTAAAAATAATCACTATAGTATCAACAAGTAAGAGAAAGGCGCCTCTGTGGAGTCACCTGAAACATTTTTATCACAATCCTGTTACTTTAGAGTCGTCCTCATCCTGTCTCCATAGAGATGAGGTAATTAAAATGCATTGTCCAACAACTGGCCTAAGGCCAGATGGCAGGCAAGGCCAAGCAAGCTCTGGCCCCAGTGCCACATGAGGATCAGGAATATTGTACATTCCACCTCCCATGATACCTGTGACAGTACATAACCACCACCATTGCCCTGGTAAAAACATAGAGAATGAAAATTCTGCTCTTGAAAAAAATAATAATAATGTCAATCAGAGATCTAGTCTCTTCAATCTCTGATCAGAATTTTAGTCATCAAAAGTAGCTGGGCAAGTGAGAGTGGCCTCAACTATTCAGTCAGGAAATCTTCACTCTGAGCAAAAGTCATCATGCTAGGCAGAGGGTAAGGACACTGATTCTTGTTCCTTCACTCACCAGAATGACTTTCTCAATCTCCTTGGGTGCGCACCAATGAAACATTCCAGTAGAGTCATACTTTTTCACATTGGAGTCCATGTTGTCAATCTGATCATTGCCAGGAATTAACAAGGGGTCATGCCTGGAGAGAAAAGGCAGAGAAACCTAAATGGAAAATGTGATAAATTATAAATGCAAAGGGTCCCCAAGTTATATCTCAAAGGAGAAGACAGATGGGGAGAAAAGTGGTTGTCACCAATGGCCATCTTCTGTCCTACAGAGCACATACTTTGAAAGGCAGCTGCCCAAACCACACAGCCCTCTGGAAGGGGACTTGACTTTGTCAGGCAGTAACTCTGCCTTTCTCCTCTCTGTTTTGTAAATGGACTCCATGTCACTTTGTGGGTCCAGTTTCACTTTTTATGGCTACCTCATTCCTTATTGTCTCATTTTACCAGCTATCCAGTTTCCCCAGCACACACACACACACACACACACACACACACACACACCAAAAGGTTGCTATTAGCACTGGCAATGAAGAGGAAGGAATAGGAACAGAGTCTCATGCTGGCTGACTGGCATCAGGATGGAAAGCCAATTACTTGCTCTTTCTGACTACAACTTCTGACGCGATGCTCTTCGCAGTAAAAGCTTTAACAGGCTGCACTTTAAATATTTTAGCAATTTGCCCAATCAGATTTTGCTCTCCCTGGCTGAAGCCCTTTAAAGATTCAACAGCATGTCACTTCAGAGCAGATTGACTACCAAGTGCCCACATCTGGAATACATGATTTCAATACTAAACAACACCCTCTCTCTTCTCCTTGACAACTATATTTGTGCTTAACTATGCAATGATGGGGCCCCACATTCCCACCTTCATTTCCCAACATAGAATTCCTTGGATGAGAGGCTCAAGCTCTGATGCATCTTAATAAACTTGTGTCAAATTCTCAAGACTATATCCACTCCTTCTGGAAGAATGGCTGTATAGAGACCACCCCTCCAGTGAGTTGGCAGGATCTAACAGACAACTTCAGAATTACAATGAAATCCGGCAAATCCACCATGCCCACAGTATGATAAACAAGCCCTCCAGCTCAGGTGATAGTTATCATTTGCCACTCTAGCTCTGATATGGTCAGCATCTGAGTGTATGGGAAGCCCTTGTTGGCATCTGCCCAACTAACCACATATAATTAAGATATTATCCCAGGCAGACCTATCCTGCAACAAAAATTATCTACTTTAAGCAAGCTGTCAATCAAAGACAGAAAACAGAAATAGATTCAAATTTCAAAATGGTATAGTGAATGTCATTACCTTTAAAATAATCTATTTCAAACATTAAAGGATAATATTTTATTTATGCTTTAGTATTTCTTCCTGAGAAATGCCTCACGTTTCTCATCTCTATGCTCTGACTATAGAGGGTAGGTCAGCAATCCCTCTAATCTGGTCTAATGTCAGAATTAAGCTTGTGGCTATCTAGTAGGACCTGACTATTATGCCTTCCACACAGAGAGAAGATAGAAAACTCAGTTCATGTTTTTATTCTCAGCAATTTGCTTTGAGGCCACAGCAGTTGACAAATACCATGTGATGCAATCCTGTGGAGTCATCTTCAAGGAGCATGCTAGATTACTGCTGGAACTGTCATATCTGATCTTTAAGGGAATAGAACAACCCAATTCACAGTAGCATCTTAGTGGCCCAGTTGTTGAGAAGTCTTCAGGGGCTATAAACTACCAGGACAACTCTCATACATAAAGCTGACTCCAAATGTGCTAAAATAAGGGGCAGTGAGATTGATCACTGGGTAAAGGTGCTTGTTGTGCAAGCCTTGACACTTGAGTGTGATCCCTGGAAGCCCTGTAAGGTGTATAGAAAGGACCAACTCCCTGTAGTTGTCTTCTGACTTCCAACACAATGTCATTTGTGTTCCCGCCCTGCACCCCCACACATACCATAGACACACCTATGCCTAAATGCTAAAAAGGATGGGGCAATTGCTGATTTAAAAACACTGATTTGAACTGGTCACAGAACATGGTTTGGGGACAAAGAGGTAGTGGTTCGGTGTGGTAAAGATATTGCTGTACAAGCAGAAGGATCTAACTTCAGATTCCTAGCCCCTACAGAAATGTGGCTCATTACTATTCCCCCAGAACTGGAGGGAGAAGACAGATAGGTACAGACAGCTAACGGGCCAGCCAGCACAGCCAAGTTGGTGAGGCCCCCAGAGAAACCTGTATTAAAGATTAAACTGGAGAGCAATAAAGGAAGACATATGACCTCAAGCACTGCCTTCTACATGCATGCACATGGGTGACCACCCCCAACATCTGCGCACACACACACACACACACACACACACACACACACTTTAGTAAATGAGGGGTTTTCTTATTCACCTTTGAGAAATTTTTAATAGTTCTATGGTTATCCAGCACCTGCCATAGGTGGGTAGACAAAAGCTACCATAGAGAGAGAAAATAAGGCTTCCATTCAGCCCTTGAAGAACATGTTTTGGGTTGCAAGAAAATCTTAGACCTGCCCTGAAGAGAGAGTCAATTTCAAATTTTCTTGCCCTTGTTTGTTGTTCAGAAAGAAGGTGTTGTCTTAGCTTCCAAAAGCCTGGGACCTGTTTCCAGTGCATTCAGGTCTTAAAAGATGTCCAGTCAAGCTGAAGATACAGCAGGTTAGCAAAAGTTCATTTAAAGAAATATATGCACTAGGAGAAGAGAGGTCAATGTGTTTTTGTTTGTTCTAGATGGTATTATGTCTGGATAAAAGTGGTCTATAACCATCTAAGGAAAGGATAAAGATAAGTGGCCAACTGCCCATCATTGAGAGGAAAATGGAACGGTGACTGTGAACATTAATTATAAACTAAAATGGAGTTTAGGGAACTCTAGGATTTCATCCCATGATTTGTGCTCTAGAATGCAGAAAGAAGCTTGCAGCAAGTCTTCAGGGAACTTCATTTATACCCTGTCCTCCACATAGCTCTCTGAGTCTAGCCCAGATGACTTAAATATACATCATCTAGGATTTCCCTCTAAGGCTCTGATCTGAGAAACATAAAAATCTCTCCCTGAATGTAGGTATTTGCTTTGTAGAGCAGACAGAGCATATAGACTTCCAACTTTGGTCTCTTAATCAGTAACGTTAGGAATGAACATGAGACACCTATTCTGAGCCAGGAAAAGAGGATGTCTTAATATCAAACTAAGGTTCACATGTAGCAGGAAAAATAAAATATAGGTAAAAGGTCATGGTACATTAGGGTGTATGTTATAGCAAATTAGCATGGAGGACAATGCGAAAACTTTAAGAAAAGCCTTGTTTATTCTACTTTGGTATAGTATTAGGGAAGTTTGAAGGGAAAACAACAAAGCAACAGTTGATGCTCTGAGAGATGGATCATAGGAATATCTGACAAGCTGTGAAAAGTGAGTATCTAGTGTTGTTCCACCAGAAGCCATTGAAATCCATTTAAAGAAGTGAGGTCTAAGTAGCCACAAGATGGTTCCCAAAAGTGATGGCTGGAGATGCCTGGTATGCAATTGTTTAACCTAAGGCATAGTAGCCTTAGAGCAGTAGAAAAGGTTCTTTCTTAGATGTGCACTGTCAGTCAACAGAGGATGAGCCACTGACTCAGAGAACAGGCTGACTCATAAAGTTAGCTAGACCCAGCATTGTGCTTTCATTCCAAAAAAAAAAAAAAAAAAAAAAAAAGGAAAAATGTTATATAAAATAGAGTATTGAAAAGGACTTCTTTTGCAAGGTCCAAGAACTAGCATTATTAGGGATGACTTTACTGATGTTGATGAGCCTAGAAGACCTTCAGGTTTGAAGCAGTGGGTTCTCCTTTGGGAGAGAAGTAGCCCAAAGGGTCTGGAGAGGATTGGGCCATTGCTGAGTATGGAAGGCTGGAAGGTAATAGACAGGTAAAGAAAAGATTTTGGAGAGTGGGTCAGAAGCATTAAAGACTGGTGGATTTACAGTTCCATTAAAGACCATGTTCACTAGATTCCTCTGTGAGGAGGTGGAGATGCTTGGAGTGTGATTCATTCCAGTGACATGAGAATATGTGATTATTTTGGGCCAGATAGGATGGATTTCCTTGCCATGTCAGTTTCTCTAGCAATTTCAAGTGTTTGTCATTAGTTTATGTGTCCATAAGACTCCTGTCACAGGTGGAAAGAGAGGGTGGGCATCTCCAGGGGCAGGGATTCTATAGACATTCTTCTGGAAGATAGCCCATGTATATATTATTGAGCACACCAAACAACTGTGAACCAGGGAGATCAGGAGGAATCAGGCAGGGTGCTATGTATGTGAAGGAGCTTCATGGGAAACATCTCTGAGCAAGGCATCTTAACATATTCAGCTTGGAGGACAGCAATAATAGATATTCAAAGGCCTCCAAGAGCTCTTCAAAACCTAGTGGGTCTGGTCTTAAATACTAAATACTAGTCCCTTTCATGTAATGAAATTCATTCAATCTACACAGCAATCCACAACTCTCCTAAGATGCTCCATAATTAATACAAGGCCTGTCTGTCATTTATGATGTGCCAGAACCTTTGTCTTTTTTAAAGGGACAGAGAGAGTTTATGTGATGGGTCATAGGACAGCTGTGATTTCACTGATGTGGGCTCAGGTGTGCACCTGTATGTTGAGACCCTCATCCTCAGCACCTCAGAATATGACCATATTTTGAGTTATGTTATTTATAAAAGTAAGAAAGATCACTAGGGTGGGTCCTAACTTGATTTTTCTCCCCCATATGGAGTGAAAATTTGGACTCAGAATCCACATTGACAGAAGTCACAGTAAAGACATGGGAGACAAGACCATCAGGGTGGGAAGAACAGCTAAAACAGTTCCTTTTCCTCAAAGGGCTCAAAGCATCAGTCCTAAAGTCTTCTTTGAACTATCAGCCTCCAGAGCTTTGAGAAAGGAACTTCCTGATGCTAATTACATCACTGTACTGGAGTGCAAATATTTACTGAACTTTAACCTATTCCTGAGTACAATGCAGATGACAGCCTAACCTAGAGAAAAGTATGCTCACTAGCTAGTCAGTCTGTTCATCTGAAACTAAAAGTGTTGTTTCCCAATGGTGTTTCA